AAATTATCACTTGTCCCACATGTAAAGGATATCAAATTGATTGGTAATTTATGAGCTAGGCAAAATACAAAATTAAATGTTTTAGTTTGATTTTATTATCTAGTTTATCAAACTGAAAAACTTAACAGCACTACTGTTTCATTACCAATTAGAACTCTGTCACATTATGTATAGGTGTTACACCTCTAAAAAATGTAACAAACATTGGCAATTGCAAATCAAAATTTTCTTGCAGAAACACTAGACAATCTCAAAAAAAAACCATAAAAATTCAATATTTTATATAAACATGATACAAGAAAAATTTCTGAAATTTGCAGAGTTTCAATGCCAAACTTCTTGGTTGCTTGTTCATTTAAGAGATGCTCACTTAGAGAAATTAAAGTATTAAATATTAAAAGTTAAAGCTTAATTCTATGGAAAAATGGAAATATTTAGTTTTATGTGTGTTACATCCCATATGTTTTGATCAATGATCGAAGATCCTGATAAACTGAAACAAGCATACATGATAAGCTGAAACAAGCTCTGTTGCCTTTTTTTGTTAAAAGTTTAAAGATTTACCATCTAAATATTTTCTGAATGTACAAAATAAGACATTATTTAATTTATTTTATTTTTCATTGAAATTAAAATCAAAACATTTTTATTAACATTGTGTTCACAATTGGTTTTTGTATGGTTTAGACAAACTTGATTTAAAGTGATGGAACACAGACATCATGGAATCATCTGTGGTAAATAGATGAGGTTGGTGAAGAGATAAGGTTACAATGCTATTTTGCATAGAGTTAAAAAAAACTTTCATAATATTTTGTTTGATTTATGAGTTTATGAGTTTACAACGGAAAAACCACACATGTCCAAAGTGAGTGTCTTGTTTTTAAAAGAACACTGTGAGTAAATAATACTTGTATTTAGCTCAAAAACTGCGTTTTTATATTGTATAAGGACTAAAATGCCAGAAAAATATACATTTAATTAAATAAATTATTAATAAACAGATATCTAATGTCACTAAACACTAAATTTCATTTTTCTCAAAATGAGAAAAATGTGACATGTGTTTTTACCCGTGTGGTCTATATATATATATATATATATATATATATATATATATATATATATATATATATATATATATATATATATATATATATCTTAAAAGGTTGTAAATTATATGAATCAGGAAAGCAAGATGAAGGAAGCGAATTCCAAAGAACTAATGTTCGAGGAAAAAAATAGACGAAAAGGAGTTTTTGGAGCACTTAGAAACAGTAACAGAAAAAGCATGGGACTTAATTGAATGACAAGTAACACGAGAATGAATTTAAGTAGATGGCACAAGAGACGCTAGCTCTTTAGAGAAGTGCCCATTATAGTATTTGTAGAAAAGAGAAAAAGAAGCAACATTATGACGATGTGACAGAGGTTGAAGGTTGGCTGCCAGAGCAGATCCAACTATGTTTACAATGCGTTTTTGCACCTTGTCTAAAAGAGAAAGGGCATCATTAGAAAATCCACCCCAGATATGGCAACAGTATTCCATACAAGGCTGGATTTGAGATTTATAGAGATAGAGAGTAGAATCCAGAGTGTCGAGCTCGATAAAGAGAAGCAACTTTAGTAGATACTCATTTTGCAACGGATTTGATATAAGGTTTCCAAGAAAGATCAGAAGTAAGAGTTAATCCTAGAAGATGAAGGGTAGGAGACTCATCGAGTACATTACCGTTCATAAATATAGGAAGGTCTAAATTATTGCGATAACGATTGGCTGAAAAAAATTGAGTTTTATCTGAATTAAAGTTCACCAGCTACTGTGAGCCTCATGCTGTAGCAGAAGTGAGATCCTTTTCAAGCTCAGATGCCCCCTGCAAGCAATCAGAGGGAGTTGGCTTCTTATCGTGACAAGAATAAATGGTAGTATCATCAGCGAACAATGTCACCTTAGATGTGAGAAAATCTGGAAGATCGTTAATGTAAATTAAAAAGAGTATAGGGCCAAGGATTGAACCTTGAGGAACCCCTGAGGTTACAGAATAAGAAGAAGAGTGCTGCCCATCAAGGACAACTTTTATACTACGATTGGAAAGGAAGGATTCAATAATCTTAAAGATGTTTCCAGATACACCATAAGAAAAAAGCTTATGGAGAAGACCAGCATGCCAAACTTTATCAAACGCTTTAGAAATGTCAAGAGCGATGGCCTTAACCTCTACACCTTTATCTAATGCGCGATAAAACCTATTGGTTATTACTGTTAGCAAATCAGCCGTAGAACGAGAAGTTCGAAATCCATATTGATGATCAGAAAGTAGGTTATGAGATTCGAGATGAGAGATTAAGTGTTTGTTAATTAAAGATTCAAAAACCTTGCTTATGATAGGAAGAAGACTTATGGGACGGTAGTTAGACGAATCAGATCGCTCTCCAGAATTTTTAATAATAGGGATAACAGATGCTGCTTTCCAGCAGGCTGGAAAACAAGACTCTGATAAGCACTTGTTTATTTACTCTAATAAGCACTTGTTTTTTTTAATAGTTTTGAAAGGATAGATGACAGCTCCGGAGAACACTTCTGCAAGACGATAACAGGTATGTTGTCCAGGCCGCAAGCTGTTGAAGAGTCTAAGCAGGAAATCACTTTAGATACAGAAGCTGGAGTGATACAGATGTCGAGCAGTGGATTAACCTGTTTGACGGCTATATCAGGTAAAACGCAACTAGTGGAATCCAGAGATGATATTGATGAAAAGTTCTTGGCAAACAATTCAGCTTTGTCTTTAGGTGAGGTGACAAAGTCTGAACCATACAAAAGAGGTGGAATTACAGACTTGCCCTTATTATTGATACTATTAAAGATTCTCCAGAGGTCACGAGAGCCTAATTTTTGTGATGAAATACGAGATTTCATGATCTGAGAATAGCGGGCTTTGGCGTTAGACAAAACCTTTTTACAATGGTTCCTAGCAGTAATAATCAGACGTCTGTTTTCTGGAGAATTGTTTTGCTGATAGATATGGAAGTAATGGTTTCGATTGGCAATTGCAGCAGCACAATGTGAGGAAAACCATGGAGAAGAGCGTTGCTTGACCTGGAATCGTCGAGAGGGAATAAAGGATTCCATGCCAGCCTTAATCTACAAAGTTATGTAAGAAGTACAAGTCAACAGGAAGACGAAAGATTTCTACCCAAGGGCCATCACGAAGAAAATCACGGAAAGAGTCCCAGTCAGCTTTAAAGTAGTTGTAAGATGTACGATGATAGTGGATTCTGACGATAGAGAAGAATGAGATAATAGTTTTAGAGAGACCAAACCATGATTGGAAGCACCTAAGGGTGAGTGTGGAGAAACTGAGCACTGACTAGGATCAGAAACAAGACATAAGTTGAGTAGAGAAGGTAAATGATTCAGGTTGTCTGGAAAGCGAGTTGGAAAGTTGACTATTTGAGTTAGGGATTGAGAAAAGCAAAAGTTGTGGGCTTTAATGCCTGCGGAGTCACCGAAACTAGAGCCAAGCTATTCAGTGTGATGAGCATTAAAGTCACAGACAACAACAATATTGGCTGATGGATAAAGAATGAGGGCTTGGTCAATATAATCAAAAATAACATCGAGAAGAGTGCAGTCTTGAGATGAAGGAGAGCGATATAGAACAAAGAGAAAAGTGATAGAGTGAAGTGGTGCTAACCGAAAGCACATAAAAGAGTAGTCTGTGGATTCAAACCTAGTTTCCAGACAAATGGGTGAATTCTTATGAATGTAATGCCTAGGCGAAGCATGTGACTATTGGAGTCTTTACGAATTAAAGGAAGATAACCATCAACACTAAGATCACAAGATGAGACAGCTGAACTCAAATTAGTCTCACAAAGAGCAAGTAGGTCTGGTGAACTTTGCAAGAGATAAGACTCAACAGAAGAAAAGTTACTTCGTAGACCACAAGTATTCATTTTGCCTTCTACAAGACAGCAGCCGGATGTATCTAACATCTGCCCAAGATGAGTATTTTTATCGAGACACCATCTCTAGCCTTTACTCAACCAAGAGCCCCAAGGCAGGGGGTGTTTTATGTCGGAGTTTGCATATCCTAGCCTTTGCCTAAAAAGGAATATCCTACAAGGCAGCAGGACATGAAGCAGATTGTATTGGGTTACATGTTACCAGTAGCAGGATAAACCTGACCTGACAATGTGCAAATAAATGTGCATATCAGGATGTTGGCCAGCATGTTAGACCGCGTCTTCTGATAACCAACAATTACTGAGCTTGAAAGGACCAGGTATTTCAACACTGCTTATAAAAAGTTTTCTTTTGTATTGAGTATAAATATTATATTCTACCTCTTCAGCTGTTTTAATAGGCCTAACATTGTTTTCCATTGCACAATAGGCGTATATAAGGCGTATATAAGACTTCAATTCCTCAACATTCATACTACATGCTATATTATAATTCATTTTGATTTATATATGCTTTGTATTTGTTTCAATGGTGATTGGCTTTTTTTATGTTGTTTGTTTACATTTTGTTTACTCAAAAATCGAAAGCTATGACTTGATTTATTTCCCTTATAAACTCGATCCAATCTTTTTTTTAAGTACTTCGTAATACAGCTCGAACTGGTGTTTGTCACCTAAAAACCTCATTCTGTCTTTAGTGCTAGCAATCATATCGCAATCTTCTTTATGTATAAATTTAAAATGTTTACATAGAATACTATGTATTATATTATTATTATACATAATAATATTGATGGTATATTTTATTTAAAATAAATTACAAAATTTACAAATACAATTTTTGAATGGAAATTTGATTGTATATTACTATTTTCAATATAACTATTTTCAAAATAAGCTGTTATGAGAAGATCTAAAAACTGTAAGAGCCAACATTGTTACAACTTTTTCTTATTATTGCTAGTAAGAAGTAAGAAAATTTAATATGTTTCTGTTTTTTTATTCTTTTTTTTTTTTTTTTTTTTTTTTTACAGTCAATAATCGCACTGGGAGCATTGTTTGGAAGTATTTTCGCTGGATTCAGTGTAGATAAGTTTGGGCGAAAGACAACTATTTTAATTACATCAGTTTTTTATATTCCTGGCTGGTGCTTGATATGTTATGCTACTAATATTTCTATGCTTTATGCTGGCAGGATACTGGTTGGTGTTGGGGTTGGCATAACTTCTTTAACTGTTCCTGTAAGTTTATTTGCTTTAAAATAGAAAACAATATTATTTTTGACGATAAGTACTTTTGAAATCCCAAAATCTGGGATTTAAGGATTGGTTTGAAAATTCAAGGATATGGTTTGAGAATTCTATAGATATGGTTTTAGAACTGTTTAAGTTTTAAAGTTACTCATAAATTAAAGTGTTTATTTTATAATTTGCGCATTTGTGCGATTTTAAATTTAAAAAAAAAGAAAATTACAGACCATAATTTATTTTCACTAATCAAACTGCATTTTTATATTTATAGACTTAATTTTAAGATTTATCATTCACGGCCTATTCTAGGAAAATATTATGGGCGGCAAAATTTTACCCTTCCGTCCCGGAGTAATTCAGCAGAAAATCTGCGTTTTTTTTGTTGCAAAAAAAAAAAACAATATTTGCTGTAAGAAAACGTAAAAAAAAAAAGATGCTCAAGTTTTAATTTAAGTGGTGCCCAAATATGGTCGACGCTGTCAAAAACAGTCTAGAATAGCCCCTGTCATTATTATGTCATATAATGATATATGGGGGCCTCATATCCTATCTATTTTATTACATCATGTGTGTTCATCTATTTTTTTTTTTTTAGGTAATTTTTATTGTAATATTATTTATGAATCATTGTGATGCAGATTAAAACATCTTATTTTGTACAATGACCAGCAAGAGAAAACAAGCTTTCGTAAGGTACAGATGTTGCATGTGTTGCCAAGTACTTTTGTGCAATTGAAGCCAGCCTGTAGGTAGGGTCATCATCTGAGCTCTTCATCAATGGAGGTAGATGGGAAAAAGCAAGCAGAACCACAGAACATAAAACATATTTTTCTCTACCCACATACCTGCAAAAAATCAAACCCATTTTACTGAAGTATTTTACATTCACTTATACACACAAAAATGTTTTCATATTCATGTTTACACATATATACAGACACATTAATTCTCTCTCACAAGCAATCAGACCAATCGGTGAGAAATATGTGATGTAAAATATATCTGCAGGGCTTCAGTAGCTTTTCCAACATCTGGAATTTGTCCATTTCAGCTAATGTTTACATAGCAATCTTTGTGTTCTGTGTGGTGAGGACATTCCTCATTGGCTGTTTGCTTTTTTCAAACACTTATCCTGTCCAGAGTCAAATTCCATATAGTTTTAATGTCTTGTATTAGCGACTTCTTTTGTCCAAGTTCAATTTCACAGCCATCTTGAACACACTCCAGCACTTGCTTCACTGTGTTCAAGATGGCATAGCATCTTTCTGCATTTGGCCACGGGGTTGTCAAAGGCGCTGTTGTGCAGAGATGCTGTGACAGAATGCTGGAGACCTTGTGTGACGCAGGTGATGCATTCAAAATGCAGATTTTTTTTGCAGTAGCAACCATATTTCTTGCACTATCTTTGCTAAGTGTGCTGACTTTATTTAAAATGGCCCACTGCTGTGCAACATGGATAAAATGTTCTACGCATGTTTCAGCAAAATATCTTCCTTGTGTCTTCATTACTGTCTTTTAAACAAGTAAGAATGAGTTTTGATTTATCCTAATAGAGATGCTATCCTAATAGCTTGTTTGAGCATTGGTCATGTGTATAAAAAAGAAAAAAAATGCAACCTTACAACAATGGGAGAGTAGCTCAAGATTGACAGTTAATTTAGGTGGAATTACATTTACAATGTGCTTTTAGACTTTTTTTTTTGAGAGTAAGAGGGTTGTTATTCGTCAATATAGGAATGCCAACAATATTCAATATTTTTTTGCAGTAAATAAATGAGTTTTGTTGTCCAGAGTTTTAAGTCCAGAATTTAAATCCATAAGCTACTGCAGGCCTTAGGCTGTTACAAAAGGGAGATCGGATTTAAAATCGGCTGCTCAATTCTGGAGCACAAACTGTAAAAGTCTTTTATTAAGAATTAACTTGATCATTGAAAGCCAGAGTGATTTTGTTGTTTAACAGTGGGTTAATCTGTTTAACTTTCAGGATGAGTATGGCCATTATATTCAAGAGTCGAATTAGAGTAAGATTTCTTTGCAAATAACACTGCTTTATTCTGGGGAGAAGTAAAAAGATCAGACCCATGAATTAGAGGTTAAATGTTAAACTTACTTTAATTGATGACATCGTTGAAGACTAACCAAAAGTCTCTACAACCTAAAAATGAGAATAACAGAGCTTAACATCAGACAGGACTTTTTTACATTGGCTTCTTGCAATAATAAAAGGACATTTGTTCTTAAGAGAGATGTTCTTGTAAAAAATATGAAAAATAATGATTAATGTTTAATAAAAAAACTGCTCAAAATGGTGAAAATTGTGGAGTAGAATAAGACTTGACTTAAAAACGTAATAAAATCTTTCAAACTTTTATTCCAGAAGGAATAAAAGCTTCTAGTTCCACAATTGCACTTTATGCATACATATTATAGAGATAAACATATATGTTTGCTGTTTATTTAGATGCTGGCATGCAATATCCTTTCATTGTCATATAAACCTTTTTTATTTATATGTTGTAGTTTTTGCCAAAAGAGAAAATGATCAGATGGATATGTGGTGTGACTCTAGTAAGACAAGAAAAAGAGGCATAATCTTAGACAGATTAGAAAAAACGTTGTATCAAACAATGTTAAAAAAAAAAATAAAGTTATTTAGGTATCTGCATGTAGAGAGTTTCAATATAAAATGGTAGTGGTAGAAGTAAGAAAACTTGAAGAGAGTGCCTTACATATTGTATGAATGAGTTAGTTAAGAAAAAAATGCTTTAGTTAAGAAAAAAAAATGCTATAGATTGTTTATATTAGAGAAACAGCATAAAAGAGGAAGGCTAAAGCCTTCCTCTTTTATGCTGTATATATGCTAAGTAAATTTTATGCTGATAATGATGATGTGCTGATGATAATGATGATGATGATGATGATCATCATCATCATCATCGTGATAATAATGATTATGATGATCATGTTGTTCATAAAAATGTTTATATATGCATAAATATGCAAAAAATAACATGAATTTGAATAAAGTATACTATAGAATGTATGTTAATGCAGCGCCAGTCACAAACCTGGCCCCAGCTATATTTTATCAAACTCGGTCCTGGCCCCTGCTCCGGTCAAGTATCAACCCCGGTCACTTACTAGATAACTATGTTTAAATTGGTTACTTTTAAGTATAACAATAGAACAACACAAAATAAAATTATTCTAAAAACAACATTATGGTAATAAAAGTATAAGTGCATTCAGCTGTTAGATTAAAGCTTGTAAACATCATCTTAAGAATAAACATTGTCTGTAAATAAAGTTAAAGTAAACAACTTCTCAAAAAAACTCTAAGTAATGCATAAAGTTTAGTTTATTTATTATTTAATTATTATCATAATGCAGGATAAAAATATTAAAATACCATCGGTTGGAAAATCAGTAATTATATAAAAAAAGATCGATGCCAATAATGATTCCGATTGTGCAAAAAGTGGCCAATTAAGCCAATGCCGATTAATCAGTACATTGTCCAAGTGTCGCTGTGAAAATAAATACATGATAAATAGCTTTAATGGCATCAAAGAGGACACTCCACAGTAGTTTTAATATATATTGTTTTGTCATTATTTTTAAGATTTGTAACATCTGATGATCGCTGTTTGTGTGAAACTCTGAGTAATGTTTAAATAAACTGAGTGTTATAATTATTTAGTTTTTACTATATATATTGCAATGTTTATTTAAAGGTTTCAAGTTAAATAACTTTAAAAATATTTGATCTTTTTACTTAAAAATTTGTACCTGTTTTCAGGGGTGACAAATCGAATAAAATGATCAGAAATATAATTTTCTGATCATTTATTGTATTTATTAATTTAAATAAATTTTAGCTATTTTTTATTAGTTTTTTATAAATTTAGCCCCACATTTTTTTAGTGGAATCTTGCAATAATTTTTTTACTACCTTCCAGACAAACTGTAACCCTGAAAGTTTCAGCATTTTTATAGTCATAATGAACGTGTGTTAAAGTTGTTTCCAGGACAGACTACCAGAGGTTCCTTGGGACCCAGGTACCAGGGGCCATGTCCAACTTATTTTCTCTAAAAAAAAATTTTTTCTCTGACTTTAACAAAGATAACTTTGAAATATTGTCTTCTAAAGTTTTTTTGGTTTATACTTGTTCTGTTTTATTTAATTATTTACAAAATAAAATACGAAAAATCAACATTGTGTTCGAAGTTGTCCAAATGTTCAAATGGTCGAAGTATATGTCCAGTTATTGTTACAGGTGCATTAATGATATAAATTGTGTTAGTAATTAAAACTTTACACTCATCTGCTCTAGATGGTAAGAAAAGTTTGTTAAAAAAGCCATGTGGATGCATAACATCTTTAACAGGTGAAAAAATTTTAACAATCTGCCATAATCAAGAAAAGATTTCAATATGGTAAATTTCATTTATCATAACAATCTGATCAAACGTATCATTTACACAGAATAAACTCAAGGTGCGAATTAAGTGATAATGAATTAAAAACTCCGTAAAAGTTTCTGGCCTTCAAATTTTGTTTTTCTTGAAAAGCATTTTTGGGCGTTTTTTTTCAGACCATTCGTAACAGTTTTGCAAATTGTTGATTTTAGAGATTCATGAAATGTTTCTGAAATTTTGTAATTTCTCTAGATTCCATTGAATTTTGAGATTTATTTTGATTATCGTTTACTTATGTTTATAAGTTATGTTTATAAATTAAATATGTAAATTATATTAATTTTGTGTTAAGATTTCCGTGGTCAGTTATCGAGTGCGATTGCACTCGATAACTGACCACGGAAATAGTATTTAGTTGCAAAAAACTGGCCAGATTTTTTAGTTGTTTTGAGAACATTGAAGATTATGTATGTTTCCTTGTTTGTCCGCAAAATAATAAGTTCATTTTGTCGTAAATTTTAAAATATTTTGTTTTACGGACTTACATGGAAACATACATAAACTTGAATGTT